AACCCTACTCTGCTGTCGGGAAAAATGGGGAGAAAGATGATTAGGCATGAAAAATAAGCTAATATTAAAGCATAAATAAACTGTCTGTATGTTCTACAGAGTAAATAGAAAATAGGGGACAAAATAGAGGGGCTGACTACCAGAATAAGTAGAACTTAGCACCCAGGGTTTCCGCTTCGATGCGAATGTTAGTGATTGAAACTGAGTTCTAGTTTATTTGTTTCAAAGAAAGTTGATATGCATAATAGAATGAGGGCATGGGATTGTGTTCACTTTTGCTTTTAGAGGTTGTTTGGTTGGCTCAAAAAAAAAATAATATAGTGTAAAATGAATGTGATACATATGCAATTCATAGTATTTGAAATATTTTGGTTGTTTGATTCGCTGTAAAATAAACATAAGACTTTATGTTTTTTATTTGGTTTAACGAAGATTGGAAATAAAGTATTTCAAAATACATAAAATATTCATGGGAGGAGGGAAACATCCGACAGCGGCGATTGGCAATTTACAACGGCAATCGACGACGGTGCAGCCTGTGGGTGGGTTTGGGCGACATGGTGAACGGCTACAGGCGGCAGGGGATGGCAGGAAGAGACGACGGGTTGCGACGGTGGACAACGGACGAAGGCAAGGACAGTGACCGAGCGGCGGCGGGCTGCAGCGGAGGACAACAACCAACGGTGGATGGCAACACATGGCGACAAGCGGACAACAGTGGTGGCACCAGAGAAAAGTCAACGGTGGTGACTGCGAACGGCTGGCAGAGGCAGACAACCGGTGAGGCGACTGGCAAGGGGTTGCGACAGCAGCGAGCGGAGACTGGCAGGCGGCTGCGGCGGCCTTTCGATGTCATTTTACATCAATGAACGGTGTAAATCTAAAATTCAGTCACATCAACTGAATTCTAAATTCAACTAAAATGAACTAAAGTATTAACTTCAAATTCATTCATACTTTACATTGTATTTGTAATTCTTCATATCAAACATGTAATTTTCTAAAATCTCTGCAAAAGAATTATAGCATAATGCAAATTCTCCCAACTAAGCAGCCTATATAAAGTAAGGCAAATCTAAAGAGAGGCCTTAATAGAATATTATGTTTATTCATTGTAAGAAAGCAATATATGATAAGTGAAATGACATATAATAATAAAACTAATTGTATACTAAAGTTAACTCAAACCAAATAAAAAAGTAAATATTATTACTAAAAACAAATAAGTGATTACAACCAAACACAACTGAAAAGAAAAACAACAGGCACAACACACAGACGCCCCCACAAGGGATTGATACAGGGGTGGTGGTGGTCGGTTACGTGGAGTGGACGGTGTGTTAAGGGGCTGGAATGGTGGTAGGAGTGTCGGTAGGCAGTAATAGCAGCAGCCCAAGGATTGAAGGGTTGCAGTCTGGGGATGGCAGCAAGCCCAGGTGGTTGGACAGTGGAATGACAGTGATAAAGCAACAATAGTTACTGTTTGGAGGTGACAGCAAGGTGGGCGCCAAAGGAAAGGCAGGAGGATTGGTTTTGGAAGGCGGTAGCTGGGTGTGTGGAGCTCTGGAAAAGGGACAGCAAAATTGACTACAAGAAACAACTATGGGGGTTGTCCAACAGCTACAGCAGGGGAGGAGGGCAAAGAGGCGGTAGCTGGGTGGCAAAACGTTGGTAGGTCAGTTGCTGGTTGGATGGCAGACGACAGTAAGGTGATTGGAGGCCGGGAAGGGCGGCAAGAAGGCGGGGGATGTATGGGAACAACACAAGCACTCTTATTTGGGATGGCTGCAGCAGGTACGACAATAGTGGCAGCCGAGGAAAGGTTACGGAGGAAAAGAAAGTAGATGAGGATCACCACCACGGAACTAAATACAATAAGAGAACAACCGACCATTAGATACAACCCTTGAAGAGAAAAACAAAGACGCCGATGTCTGTCCCGACATAAGATACGATAAGAAAAAGAGAATTCAAACCCGAATACAACATATATGTAAGAAATGACTAGAAAGAAAAGATAGAAGGAAAATTGCTCGAAATTGAAAAGGAATCGAAAGAAGAGCCACTTGAATCGATACCAAACCGTTTGTGTCACCCGGATGCCGCGTTCAGTCTGTGTTACAAGAGACGTCAATGTCGGACTCTTGGGGTTTCGGGAGGTTCAATCTTATATGTCAAAACTCCCATCTCCTCATAGTATGGGGTCAGGTCAACCACATTGAGGTAGCGGAAATAGCATAATCTCCTGGTAAATCAGTCTTATAGGAATCATCATTCCAAAGCAAATCTTGATAGAATAAGTATTCAATTCCCTGTTGACCTCATTTTGAGGTCATTACTCTTTTCCTTAGAATCATAGTATCTAGCTCTAGAAGATCCTATTGATCATCTTAGAAAACTAGAATTAGGCCCCACCCTTTTTAGAAATTTCAGCCACTTCCTATTTCTCTTGTGGTGTCTCGCATTGATGATCTCAAAACCATCGTCCTATGGTCAAATGGTAAAGGACTATCATGTGGAGACTCAAGGAGAAGTTCCTAATAGGATCTCAAGCGGTAGAAAAACCACTTCAGGACTTTATCATCACACATGTACACCAAATGCACAAAATTCACTAAATTGCACAAGATCGGACTAAAATTGAGCCTAAAGGATGGGTGAAAATGCGAACTTCTCTGGACAACCTCCGACTACAAAATGGACAGTGCCAACGCGTCCAAGACACCAACTTTAGTAGGAAAAGACACTCATATTGTCATATTTCCGACGAGCAAAATTGCACACAAATTGATGAGTTTGTCAAAGCGACTTCCAGTGGCGAAACGGACCGTGCCAGCGCGTCCGGAATGCCAAAATTACCTTCAAGGAACATTTAATTTTCTACAATCTGACACACGAATAAAAATGCATAAATCAGATTTTATTTTTGAAATATTAAATATTTTTATTTATAATAAAGTTTTTAATCTTAAACCCTAAATCCTATTCCCGCACACTTAATCCTTCATTCGACCCCGCGGCTTAGTCAGGCGCTTAGCTCGTCTCCCTCGTGTGCCCTAGCTCCCGTGGACGATCCACGCAACAATCTCTTCCCCCTCTCTCGACTCTTCCCCTTCTTTGCGTGGCCGCTCGACCTTTCGGCTCTCCAATTACAAGGGTCGAGCTGGCCAACCTTCTTCTTCTCGAGGTTCTACCATCTCTCTTTACTGTGGCGATTATTGTCTCGTCGTTTGATTCGTTTACTGTTGACCGCACTTTTGGTTGAAGCCTAGTTTCTCCTTTTAAAGTCCCGTTTGGGGGAGATTAAAATTGCGTTCGGGGTTCCGAAAACGCCGTGGTCGTGTTTGGAAAACACGTTCGCCACTGCGGTGCCAATAATCACGTAAAGCATTTGCCTATTGCCTGATGGATCGTTCGTCGCTGATAGCACCCTGCGTTTCATCGTTTCGGAGTAACTTATTACCCCGATGCCCCTTCGATCCTGTCTCGTGCCCCCTTTCGATCCCGTCTTGCCTTACCCTAGATCTGCGTCTCCCCTCTGTCGTCTCGCTCTCTCGCCGTTCTTGGCCCCCTGCCTCGTCTCTGGTGTTCGATCCCATTGAAATACTTCAGGTATCGTTTAGGGTATAAGATCTTTGCCTTGGATTGTTGCCTGGGATCGTATTTATGGATTTTTGTAGGGCTTCAAAGTTGCCTCTTATCTCCTGATCTATGCTTCTCCTTAATGGTTTTCAACCTAAAAAATTTTCTGTGTCTTCGAAGTTGCCTCTTATCTTCTGATCTATGTTGGTTGCTGAAATTCTTTTTGGCTGAAATTTGGTATATCGTATGCAACATTGAGCTATTCTGAAATTTGGTATACTGTATATTGTATTGTCAGTTGTTCATTTTTCAATTTTGAGGGTTTGTGTTCCATATATTTTGCATACACTATTGAAATTGTAGAGGGTTTGTGTTCCATATATTTTGCAAAAACTATATTGCTGCTTGCTCACCTAGAATCTATGCTGAAATCCATTTTAGTGTTGAAACATGTTGGCTTTAGTCATGTATGCACACTAAAATGTTGTGTTATTTGATTCTATTTGAAACATATGTTGGCACTATATTTTGGAATATAAAGCTCCAAAGAGAAATATTTTCTGTTTTGACCCACTTGTTGGGTTCGGTTTGGACTCTTTTGAAATCAAATTTATGTTGGAAATATTTTCTGTTTTGACCCACTTATTGGGTCCGTTTTGAGCTCTTTTGGAATCAAATCAAATTATGGATGAAAATACTTTCTATTTTTGGCCCATTTGAAGGGCTCGGGTTTTGGGCTGTG